CACACACACACACACACTCCAAACCTTTAGCCGGAATTCAAGCCCCCAGGCCTCCAAGCATATGTACATTTAATTCCTCCTCAGATGAAAATAAAGACATCGGCCTCATTTAAAAGTGAAAAGAAAAAAACAGGACTTCTACTGGCTCTCTTTGACAGTGTCGCAGCTAAGTGAAATGAACAACATCCAAAAAAGAAACAGATGTACTGATGACCCAAGAGCCCTATATTTAGGTTGATCCCAGAGACCAGGGTGAAAGGAAACGTATTGGGAAGTGGAGGAGTGCTTGAGTGAGGACTGGACGAAGCACTGGAAAGACGCCTACGATGACACCATCTCGCTGGGCTAGACCTTGGATTCCCACTGCCAAAGAAACCCAACCCGCAGAGGTGCCGCTGCCTTAAGGCGCGGCTGCTGAGGGGACTTGGAAGGCTGGAAGGCTTGGGGACGTACTTGCTTTTAATATGCAAGAGAGAAGAGGGCGGGGAGATTGGGGATTTTCCTGGGGAGAAGCATCCTACCCACCCCTATCTCCCCTTTCTCTGGTCCACAAGCAAAACAATTAGCTGTTTTCGGCGAGTGGGAGAGCGAACGGCGGCCTGTCCCCTCCCGAGGCTGCTCCAGCCTCGCGAGCTGACACCTCGAGGAGAGGGCTTTGGACTGCTAGGGTTTGCTCCGGGTCTCAGCACCTCAGAGTCCCCTTAGACTTGTGGTAGAAGCTTTTGGGCAAACCCATTCCTAACGCCTAGAGTCCCGATCGAGGCTTCCGCCTTTCCAAACAGTGTCGGCTCGGCGGACAATTCCAGGCGAAGTCCCCTAACACTTCTGCGAGAAGAGTGGGGGATGGGGGCCCTGCCGCCCCAGCACTGAACCCAATCTCCCTGGTCCCGCGTGACCAAGGCCGCTCCACGCCGGGCAGGCAGGGGGCGCCGGGGAGGGTGAGTGACCCGAGACCCCGGCTGCATCCAGAAATAGAGCAAGAGGCTCTGCCGCGCTCTCTCAGCGGCCTAAGGTCCCGGCAGCCCGCCCCCTGGGGGTCACTCGGCGCCCGGCCAGCCTGGAGCTCGCTAGCGGGAGCAGGCCCTTTCGGCCCCCTTCTCCTCCGCGGCTGTCGCCGCTGGCTGCGCTCCCTGCACTCCTCACTCTCCACGCGCTCGCGGGGCCTGGCCTCTCCTCACCTGCCCCTGGCTCCGCGGAGCCGGTAGCTCCGCACTGCCTGTGCCCCACCACCACCACCACCACACACACTGCGACTACAACCCCCACTCTCGTCTCCCCCACTCCCCACCCCAGTCGTCCCGCCGCGCGGCGCACGCCGGAGAGCACTGCCGAGCGCACAGCGCCCACTACCGCAACCGCCGCTCGGCGCAGCTCGGCGCAGCCCGCCAGCCCGCGCAACTTCCAGCGGCCGCCTCGCAACTTTTCCCAACTCCACCACTGCTGCCCGCCGCCGCCGCCACTGTGGCTCCCTCCGAGCCTGCCACCCACCCCAAACCCCAGAAACAAACCAAGGCTCGAAAAAGCTCCCATCCCCAGACCGCCCCCCCATCCCCCGCTCCCCCTCCCATACCCGGGACTAGCTGGTTGGCCAGAGGCAACTCTCCTCCGCCTGGGGGGAAGGGGAGGGGAGGGGGAGACTCTCTCGTCTTCTCTACCCCCCCCCCCCCCCCCCCCCCTCCCGCTTGCTCTCGCGCGCTCTTCTCCCTCCCACCCCGGTCTTGGCTGCCCCCACCCCCACCCCCACCCCCACCCCGGGGTTGCCACAGCTGGTCGGTGCACGGGGCTAAGGGCTGCCCCGGCTCCTCTGGCGCCCAAACCAAGAGCGAGAGCGCGGGCGGCCGGGCGCGAAGGCTGGGACCGGCAGGTTGCTGGGGCTGCGCTGCGCCTGCCCTCCGCCCGGGGCCCCGGCGCGAGAGGCAGCTGCGCGCTCCCTCCCGGAGCGCTGGAGACAGATATGCAAGATGGCAGAGGAGGGGGAAAGCCAATAGAAAAGGGATATTGCACCTACTTGTGGCCAGTTTCCTTGCCCTGCCTTTGGATCTCATGCTGTGCCCAGTCCTGCAGCCGCTGGTGTGTGGTTGGGGTTTTTTTTTCTTGGATCTTTTCCTTCTTTTGCTTTCCCTCTCGCTCCCTCCCTCGCTTCTCTCTCTCTCTCTCTCTCTCTCTCTCTCTCTCTCTCTCTCTCTCACACACACACACACACACACACACACTTACACACACTCACTCTCTGTCTTTCCCTCTTTCACTCTCTCTCCCTCCCTCTCTCCCTTTCTCTCAATCCACACTCGCTATCTCTCCAGCATTGTCAGTTCGGACACCTTCGCACATGCGCGCTAGACGCCCCTCCAACATCTCAGCGCCGCCAAAAAAAGTTTGGAGCGATTTATCACTTTGATTTGGAGATCTTGTCAGATGGCAATCGCCGAGGAGGCGGAGAAAGGGAGCCACGGGGAGGGCGGCGGGGGGCGGGGAGCGAGCACAGGGAGCCAGAGGGGAGCAGACACCTCGCCCCCAAAAAAGGCGGGGAGGGGGGGGAATAAAAAGACTAGGGCAAAGGACTGATTTCGTGTTGGAATCACCTATAAGCCTGTATCATTACTATTATTGTTTTTCCCACCATAAATTGCAGGAAATTTTCTATACATCCACGGAGAAAACAAGAAGTGGGGCTTTTAAAACCTTTTTCCATATTAAAGAACTAGAAGGACAGGACTCTTAAATGATCCAGGAGAAAGTGAGAATCATCCTGAACTTCAGGAAATCTGCTGCCGCCGCTCTTACTGCTACTGAAGCTATTTCGGCTTGTGCTTTCGGAGTTGAAAGTAGAACAAGTAACTGTTTTCTTTCTCGATGTTAAGTATACTACCAATACTTGCCATTCTTGGAACATTTCTGTGGTCTATTCCCATCAAGTAGTAATGATCACCTTTGATTCCCAGGTCCGGGCAGGCTCGGGCATTTAACATCCAAGACCTCCTGCTTCCCTAAGGTCGGCCGTCACCTTCCGGCCTCCCCCACCGCTGCCCCCATCTCCGGTTGCCCCAGCTCTGCCTGCCTGCCATTTTCACTCACTTGCTTAAACCCACAACCTTTAGGGTCATAAGAAAGAGGGGGGGGGTCCTTTCCCACCCTTAAAAAAAATAATTTGTTGGAATTTGCTTTAATTACAGGATTTACCAATGAAGTGGGCACATAGAAATGGGGAAATCCTAAAGGGGCCAGCTGTGTTCAAGGTATGAATCAATCTCAACTACGTATAGATTTTCTCTTGGTACAACTGCCTTGCATTAAACAGTGTTGTTCAATACCTTCCATGAGCTATTTATGTCCCCATTAATATCTGTTGCAAATCCTGCCAGACACGGTAAAAGAAAATTACAATCTTTTCAGTCTCTGTGCTGCAACAGTACATCCTTGATGATCCAGTTAGAGGAGAAGGAAAAGAAAAGCAAGTCCTGGGCATGAGTTTAGGAAAGGCAGGGGAGGGGAAGAGAGATCATTGAGAATACCCTGTTGTGCCAGTTGTCATTTATTGTCAAAACTGGGACTGGGAGTGTGAGCAAACAGCAAGTTTCAACCCTAAGAGGGGTTCATCAATGGTTCATAGAATATCTCTGTTTGAGGAAATCAAAATTCAAAGGATCACCCTGGCTAAGGATGCCCACCATTTCTTTCTTCAGAGTTGTGTAATTCTGGGAGCATGTGGCGGTAAGATAAAGGTCCCTGGAGAACCAAGTAAAGGTCCCAAGAGAGACAGATGTGTAATGTCGAAATGTAAGAAAAAGGTAAAGGGAGCAAATGAAGTAATTACACAGAGCAGGAGTAAAACAACTTCCAAAAGAGAAGGTTCTGGTAAGCACCAGATGGGCACAGGAGAACTCTATCATTCCCTCTGGACTGAAAAGGCAGGTGGGGGGAGGGGGGTCCAATCCTGCTACAATTCCTGTTGCCCTGTGGTGTACTTCTACACAGCAGAAGTGGGTGCAAAAACACCAGGCTTTGGGTACCCAGAGGTCTGTGAATTCGAATTCACTGGCTCTTCTCGGTTTAGATGGAGGAGTGCCTTCCCTCAGATGAACAGTTAAGTTTCCTCAGAAGAAAAGGAGAAGTTGGGGTTGAGAACCATCAGAAAGGTAATAGAATCTCTAGGGAGAGAAACACTAGACTGGCCATCAAGATGTTCACAGAAGCTGCTTCTGATCAGTTTAAGGACTCCCTGGGGACCCTCACCTTGGCCAAAAGACACAGAGAAGGCACAGGAGGATCAGGCCCCACCCATCTGTCAGAACCTCAATGGCCTCTTCCCGCAGGAGGGGAGAAGGAGACCCCTAGGCAGGAAGAGTGCCCTGCGCAGTAGGAGGCTCAGCCTTGGACTTTTCATTTCGCCTCCTCAGCCCCGGGGAGCTTAAAAAAATAATAAAAAGGAGTTACTATCCTCCCCTCCACTGCTCTCATTAATTCCTTCCATCTCATCCCCACGGGGGGTATATATCCTGGTCCACTCGCGGAGAGGAGGTTAAGAGACGTGCCAGAGAATTTTCTAGGAAACGAAGGTACCACGGAACCAGACCCAAGATTAAATAGAAAACCCACCTGTGAAGCTGCGGTGATTGTTTCTGCTGAGAAATTACAAACCACGTGGCGGGCTAGGGGTGGGGTAGGGGCTGTGAAGGGAACTGAATAGGATATGAAGGACTCAAGAAAATCAAATCTGAGTCCCCAAACTTAAAGATCCGTCAACTTTTCTAGACGGCGAAGGGCAAGAGGATGAGGCGTCGCTGGAACACCCTCCCCTTCTCGTTTTTAAAGTCCCTGGGGTCGCGGCCGCCTCAGCGAATGCCTGGTCTTTCCAAGAGTTTCGGGACACGAGCAAATCCAACCTCTTCCAACTGAAATAATAAACACAAACTCCTCTGTGCCCTAGGGCCAAAGCATTGTGACTAGACAAGGCATCATTCTTTTTGTTGTTTTTTTAGTAAAGTATTCGCAACATCATCACTTTTATTTTCAAACCTGAAAGCTGGGTTTTTCTTTTCTTTCTTCCTTTCTCTCCCTCTCTCTTTTTCTTCCTCATTTGCTTTCTGCCTTGAGTATTAGTTTAAAAAAATAAAAAAAAAAAGCTAAGTTGCTAGTTCAAGTGTGTTTAACCTGATGGAGCAAACGCCCAGCAAGCAGCGGACTGCGCTCGCCGCCTGCAGCGCGGCTTGCCTGAGCGTGCCGACCTGGGCGGGTTCCCACTTCTAAGTACGTGAACCCCGTCAGTTCCACCTGTCCCAAGTCTCAGCCGTGAGACCCAAGCAGGTGACTTTCTGGTCAGCGGCCCCACGGATTCCCAAAATCCTTTGACGGGGCATCCAAGCTGTCGCTCGCCCAAGAGACAAGAGGCCTCCAACAAGTTGGCCGAGCTACCCTCGCTGCCCGATTCCCCACCACCCACCTTTTTCTCTTCTCCTGAAATTCGTTTCCTTGAGGGGCATGAGTACCAACGTTTTCTTGCATTTTCTCCAACGGAAACGGGAATCCTGGAAACAGTGCCTCCTTGGAAAGTCGTTGAGCTTACGGACTGTTTGGATTTGCTTGTTTTATTACTGTCATATTTTGTGTCGGGGTTTTTGTTGGGTTTTTTTTTTTTTTTTTTTTTTTTGGGGGTTTTTTTTTTTTTTTAAGGAGAAGCAGAGATGAAGAAGAGGGGTCATTGAAGAGGACAAGAGAAGTATACCCTTTCTCCAACCATGTTTCTTTAATAAATCCTAGAAACGGCAAAGAACTGATTTTCAATACATTACATGCAACAGAAACTTGTCCTTTCCTCGAATTATAATTGAACCAGCCCCACTGTATCTTTGGAAGAAAGTTTGAATTCTTTATGGAGGTATTTCTTGGCCTATTGTCTTTGTGCAGTGAACTTTACATCTTGCTATTCAACCTATATTCTCCTGGCTACCAGCAAGATTAATTTAATCATTGTAATGCAATTATTAATACTGTTTACCCAACGCTGGGTTTCAGGTTGGCTGTTAAGAAATTAAACTCTCGCTGGGTGACCAGAGCTAGGCAGGGGTTTCTTCATGTTGAAAGGAAACAGTCCTCTTTATTTAGTCTCAGAGCTCTAGCTTTCGGCCACGGGCTCAATTAGCCAAAATGGAAACAATTTTCATTCATTGCAATAACTCACTGTTCTGGAGATCGCTTTCAAAATATACACTTTATTATTATACGCTGACCTCGGTGGCGTGGAGTGGCAATAAAAGAAAGAGGCAGGGAGATCTATCTAGCCCCCTTGGGCTATAATTATTAGAAATTAATTGGGTTCAGGACCCTGGGTAGTCTAGCTAAATTAATAGCTTGTCTAGTGGTTTAAATCCGAATTTTTAGTCCACGGGAGAAAGAGAGAGTCACAGACATGAAATGCTGACCCAAGGGACGCCCGAGTTTACTTGCAAGACACTCATCTATTAAATAGTGTCTAGAATACATTTGAGTTGGGGAGAAGGGGTCGGAGTAGGAGGGGCGGGGGCCAGAAGAAAGAAAGGAGCGAGATGGGGAAGGCGACTGCGAGTGAGCTAAAAGGTCTCGAGTTGATTTTATTCGATTTTTCTTGTCTGCATTGTTTTCGGGAGGGGTTGCATTTAGGGGTTAAAATAAAAAATAAAGATCCCGTGTACTCGGAGCTGTCGTGCTGGAGTAAAAGTGAAAAGGGAGCCTTAGGCAAAAGGAAATTACTGCGAGCCCGCGTGACCTTTCAGGGAGGTAATCAATCAAGTGATCAACAGGGATATTTATCATCGCTATATAGGACTACTTCGCCCTGCACGGGCGGGGGTGGGGAGGCAAGAGGAGGGTGGAGACACGCGCGCACGCGCGTGCACACACACACACACACACACACACACACACACACACACCAAAGTTTGGACAAACCCGATAAGCCTCGAGACAGAACACGTAGGCTTTAATAAATGTTAAGACTGTCCGTTTAGTCTGACATTCTTGGAGAAACACACACTCCTACACATACGCAAGGGGAAATGCGCACATCCCCGCAGCAGTGGCTGCGTGAAGGTGTTAACTTTAAACTGTCCACTGCGCTTTGCCCTGAAAGGAAAGCTCGCGGTGAAATGCTTGCTTCAAACACCAGCGAGGAGAGACAGCGGGGCTGAGGCCAAGGAGGAGCAGGGAAAGCGCGACTTCCGCGACCAGTCGTGGAAGGGGCGCCGCCGGCCTCAGGGGGCTCAGGGCAGCGTTGGTGGCCCTCTCTGAGATGCACGGATGCCAGGGTCCGAGGCCCCGCGGCAGCCTCCTCTTCCTGCGAAATCCTCGCGCGGCCCCAGCGGCGCGGCTGGAGAGAGGCGCACTCGGATCCAGCCAGCTCCTGCGAGCACGCGCGGCGAGGGTTGGGAGGCGGTGCGTTTTCTGCCCAGTTACCTTCTGTACCTTGTAAAACTTGCCGTTTTGTAAATTGCGTTTTTCGGCCCCGGATTTCTTAGCAAATCGTTAGGTTTTACAATCCTGCTGCAACCCTCTGGTCGTTCAACAGCCCTCCACCCCCAACTTCAGAAGTGCGTATAAGGGAAGGTGGGGCGGGGTGGCTGGCTTTTTTAATAATAATGATAATGGTATTATATAGTCGACTTAAAATCTAGGTCCCCGAGGCCTTCGCCCAGCTCGGGGATTATAATCAGCAGTTCTTTCGAGACAAGGTCGGGCTGATTACTGGCCCTTGAGGCTGGGAACTATTTCCCAACAGGTTTATGAAACACAGGTTGGGGTGATGCGCGCCGCCTCCCAGGTAGCGAGCCGCCACTCCCGCCGTGTGGGAATGTGGGGCCGCGCCAGGGCCGTGCTGGTTGGCACCAGATGCGAAGCTCGCGCTCCCCCGCCGGTCGCTCGGGCTGCCCTCTGCGGGCTCGGAAAGGCCTCCTCCTGCACAGCCTAGTCTGCGGCGCCCCCGCCTGGCTTCCCCGGCCGCTGCAGCTCCGGGGGCGCCCGCCGCCTAGGGCTCCAGCTGTGCACAGTAGCTGACTGGGCGTGGGGGTGGGAAACAGCTGGAGCGCCCCGGGGAAGCGCCGGTTGGGGTGGAAAGGAACCCAGCTACGAGGATTACGAGGCGATCAACTCCCAGAGTTGCTACTGGTTTAGGACCAGGAGGAGCAGCTTCACGGGGCACAAATCTTTGCCCGTGGGAACAGGAGCTCTGGAGAGAAACCAGACTGCTGGTATGCGATACCGGGGAAAGTTTGGACCTCCTTGAGCCCCTTCTACCGATCAAACAATAACCTAGAAAAGTGCTTCTCAAAGTTAAATGTGCGTATGAATCCCTTGGGGATCTTATTGAAATGCGAATTCAGATTCAGTAAGTCTGGAGTGGAGACCCAAGCAGTCTGCGTTTCTAACGCTCCTGGGCGAAGTGGATGCTTCTTTAAGTGTGGTTCCCAGATCAGCAACATTAACCATCACCTGGACTTTATTAGAAACACAGAATCTCAGTTCCTAATCCAAACCTACTAAATCAAAAATTGGCTTTATAACAAGAGATTCACTTGAACGTGGAAGTTTGGAAAACGCTGCTCTAGGATGTGCCTAGCCAGGTTTTGTTTTGTTTTGTTTTGTTTTTTCCCTTCTGTCTTAGATCACGACACCTCCATGACTGAACCTCTTTTCAAATCCTGCTGTCTGCTTTGGTCGTGGGAGAGGATGGAGTCGATGAACCTATCCCTTCAAAAGCTGCAACTCCTCTACCCCCTTGGAGAAACTCTTACCCTCTTCATCAATTGACTGCTGGACTCAAGACAAATGCCATCAGAGAGGTTTTCATGGGTTCTGGTCAGCACCCAGAATGACAAATGCTTCCACTTCCTTCTCACCCCCACCCCACTATTTTGCTGACATTTATCTCTCCCTCCTTACATTAGAGTTCTTTGTTTCCACATCTTCCTTCCCCTCTCAGCCATAGGCTTCTTGAAGGAGACCATGCCTTATATTCTCCACGCTTTGGTTTCTCAGTGCAGCAGGGAAATTCCTTCCTCAAAGGGATTAACGTCTCAAAATGCTCTGTGAACTATAAAGCTAAAGTAACTATTACCTCTTTTTCGTACCCCTAACCCACCTTCCTATAGGCTAACACACTGTTTTATATCACTAACTACTTAGTATGGTGTTGTCTCTCTGAAAGGTTCTTGAATTCGATCACACACCGAATATACTGAACCTAGAACACAGCCACATTTAAAGCTTTTTTGTATGAACACTTAAGTTCTAGTTTTCTCCTCCATAATATTCTCTAGAGAAGAGGTTCTTAACCTGGGGTAGAAGGAATTCAGGAGTCTGGGTGACATCTGCATCTTCTAATTTCATTACTCAGAGAGGTGGTTCTGGAGCCTGGAAGCTGTCAGCATTCTAAGTGGTCACTAGCTAAAAGTTGGGATCTTCAAGAATTAAAAGCTAGATTTGTAAATATGATTAAGTGAGCCCTCTTGGGGGACTACAAAGATGGACAAATACCATCAAAGATTCTGGAACTCTTCTGGAAGCCACGGTTGCCAGTGTCAGTAAAAGATAGCAGTATTCAGATTTCAGAGCCATTATACATTAGATAAATTCTGAAATAGCAAGATAAAGTTGAAAGATTTTAAGAGTCAAACCTTTGGAGGTTTAAATCCCAGTTCTACCCAAGCTACCTGGGTAGTTAAGTGTCTGACTCTTGGTTTCAGCTCAGACCATGGTCTCATGGTTCATGGGTTCAAGCCCTGCATTGGGCACTGCACTGACAGCTGCACAGCCTGCTTGGGATTTTCTATCTCCCTCTCTCTCTGCCCCTCCGCCTTGTCTCTCTCTCTCTCTCTCAAAAATAAATAAATAAGCATTAAAAAAAATAAATCCCAGTTCTACCTTTTACCAGCTGTGTAATCTTGGGCAAATTGCTGAATATCTGTAAGTCCCCATTTTCTCCTCTGTGTTATGGAAATGACTATGTATATATTACAGGGTTATTGTGAGAATTTTTAAGACAATATATACAAAGTACCTACTATGCAATGTCTGCTGCATAGCAGAAATTTGAAAAAAGGAGCTACTTAAACCTCCAAATTCTGTCATTCTATAATTGGCATAATGATAAAGTTTAGTGTGTGTGTGTGTGTGTGTGTGTGTGTGTGTGTGTGCACGCACGCAGTGGTCTTGGACACTGCCTTTTCCATTCCAATCTATAATGACATATTTTTTCTTTGCTCAGTAAATTGTCCCCTCAAATTGCTGAAGCCTGAGGCATTTGGTGTATATAAAACTGGCTGGTGCAACTAAATCTTAACATTGCAGTTTGAATAGGCACCAGTGTGTGTGTGTGTGTGTGTGTGTGTGTGTGTGTGTGTGTGTGTGATTGGATTTTAGCTACATATTTTCAAGGATTCTTGTGTACTTGTTCCTACCGTCAATATGACAGTATGAACCAGGGTTATACTCAGTTTATCCCATACAAGCAGTGTCCTGATCATCTCTCAGATGAGGCAACAGGGCCTGGGCCACATGATGAGGGCCACTGAGACCCACTGACAGAGACATTGCTCTTCCCCTGGCTGCCTGATTGCAAGCCTTTCTGGATAATACATACAAAGTCATACTTCAAAGCCCTCTAATGTTTCCGTTTTACCATATTCTCTCCCTGGAAGATGGAAGCCACACAGACAATTCAAAGAGACAGTGTTTTTAAATGGGATTAGCAAGTGCTTTTTCTTTTTAAAAAATATTTTGCTTATGTGATTTTTTTGTTTGTTTAGTGTTTTTAAATTTTGATTTTCACAAATCTAGTTGCTATGCTTACTATCAATACATAACCTATCGATCG